TGGAAGTAAGCAGACCGGGTTATGTAATTAATGTGAGACTGGAATGAAAGAGTATTATCAAGTATGACACCCAAACTCTTAACCTGAGGGGAGGGAAGGGTGGGAGAATTTTTAATGTTAATGGAAAAGCTGTGGGATTTGGTTAAGATAGATGGTGTGCCAACAAGTAAAACTTCAGTTTTATTACTGTTGAGTTTGAGGAAATTGGAGGAGAACCTTGGTTTATATCTGACCCAGATAGACTGCAGGTCATAACTTCTTACCTGAAGTTCAGTTCACCTGACACTCGGACCAACGGCCGCCTCGGGTCTCTCCTCCTCCTGCCTCCCCTTTGCCTCATCCACCTGCTGGCCTCTGGAAGCTCCGCCATAGCCACCACCAAACAACTGAGTTATTTTTACACATCGACCAACATCTGGCCAATCCACCACCTCTCATTGTTTATACTGTTACAAATTTTTAAAATAAAAATCATCAGCCCATAAAAACGAAAAATCACCCGGTATGCCCGATGGCCAGTCCAGCTATGTTTCACTTATAACAGAGCTCACTGGGAACCCAAAATCTCTGCTGTGTCTGCTTACCTACCACCTTACTAAACACTTGAGCCTGACTACTTCACGCTTACCATGTAGATCATGTTTATGACCATGTTTATGAGCACAGTGTAACCTTCTTCTCCTGTTCCCAACATGATAATGTGCCATTTGTCCCTAAATGGCCTCTAGTCACTAGATCTAAATCAGTAGGGCACCTTTGGGATGTGGTGTTATTGGAAGCACATCATGGATGTGCAGCCACCAAATCTGAGGCAACTATGTGATGTTGTCATGTCAATATGGGCCAAAATCTCTAAAGGGAAAGAAGGGGTACAACATGGTACTATTAAGATGGGTGGATATCACATAGAGGAATATAAAAGATGTAAAAATGGGGGGGGAAATGAGAAAAAAGAACCAAATTAAACTCAGCATGCTGTATTGCCATCTTTTATTGCACTTTGTAAGCAGATGCTGTACAGTAGCTGTGCAGAGAAGTTATTCCTCAGTGTGACAAACAACCATTGCAGGACTAGGACAGGTTCATCCAAAATTAAATTACTTCTGGTCACAACTGAACACAGTCACAATTAGTTTGCTTTTTATCAAAATAAAATCCCAAAAATAAAGTTCCACAATTTCATCAAAAAAGCTATGACAAGTATGACAAATATCTACAATGTTATGTGAGGGAAGTGGCTGAAGACAACAGAATAACTATCAAAAATGCACAAGTCTTGTTGTTTCCTACAGTATATACAAACATTAACATTACAAGTTCTTCTTTATCTCTCACATGCAAGAATCTATAGTGATCGCTTGTATTCTCTTAGTGGTGCATCACCATTTTATGGATAACTCTAACAATCTGGTTCTCATCTTCAAAGTCTATCTTTCTCTTTATTAAGAGGAGACAATAACAGGAGTGGGTAAACAGTCTTCTCCCTCAGTGGCTGTCATGGCAACATCATAATAGATAATTTAACCCACAAACAATGCTTGCACTTTCTCATTATCATACACGCACTCGCGCACACAGGCATACTCATTAGTGATATGATAAAACTTGAAAGCAGACCCCCTGATACAGTACGATACACTGAAACATCAAAAATATACAGAGTAATTAGGAGGAAGCCAATCCTGTGGATGATGTATACACATGGTCAGTAGGAAATACAACCCCAAGACCACTTTGGTCTTAGAGGTCCATCAATTTGAGAAGGAGTGCTTCTCTTCATCTTCTGCTTGGCTTCATTGTGATGTGGCCTGCTAACTCTTCCCCATCTTAGCAATTAGTTCATCACAGATCTTTGTTAACTCCTCGATCTCTTTATTCTGTAAAACAGTTAGCAACAAAAATTTATACACTTGGATAACTTTAGAAAATTTTAATTTAATATCTTCTCATATCCTAAAACTGACCTTCTGCTCTAAAGTGCGTTCCAGAGAGTCCACCTTCATCTGCTCCTTCCTCAGACTGGCCTGAGAGGCAGCTTGCTCCTGCTTGGCCTTGGCCCGCACCTGAGCTATCTCTGCGTTGGCCCTGGAGGCACACAAATGATACAAGAAATCACCTCTACGCAACTCACAAAAGCCTATAAAATCTAAAAAGCAAATAAAAGTCAACAAAGAGTTAATATGGATCATATATAATCTATAGAAATATGTTTCGATACGAGCCATTGTAAATACTGGTTTAGCTTCAGCTAGCAATGTTAGCTAGACTCATTGCTAGCTAGTTAGCTAGACTTGTTTCTAATTACACTGACTCATATACAAACATATTTCAGCTCAGACAATAAGTTATGGTGTACACTTAAAGAACAGTTTTTGGTACAGGAAAGTACCAATGTTATGAAGACTCACTGCTAGCTAAACTTCAACACTGTTCTCAGTCCCACAAACACTAGAAATCACATCACATATCGAGAAAAAAAAAAAAAAAAAAAA